TCTGCACTTGCTGTTGGTTCACACATTGCCATCTTGTTCTCTCTGCTTTCCTGTGTCTGAGTTTGCCAAGTTTCTCCTGGGTTAGTGTGTTCAATTGTGATCAGAAAGAGAACGATCTCCCTTTGCTTCTGACACCTTCCATTAGAACCAGGATGCAGCAGCCAGGAGAAGCCACTGTCTGTGCTGATGCATGCTCTTGTACAATGCAAGGAAGCTACAAACAAACAAATAAAACATAACATCCTTCTCAAGGGAATAGTTCTGATCAGTTATTCTGGACACCTCGTTACAGATTATTTCATTTGTTTGCATTCAATTAAGCACCTTGTCTGTTGGAGCAATTCAAAGACAACCATAGAAACAGAAGTGTGAAAAAGGACAGCTTGTGAAGATAAATGTGTTTGTAAAAGACAGTTGTAAATTCGTGATCATTTAACCATTTAAAGTCAGGGTTGCCTGACAAAAGACATTGTTTAGATACATGTTTTGATTTTTCTATAGAATGCTGTTAGTCTAATAATCTCGATCTCACCTGGATTGTTCAAGAATAAAGTGCATAATACTCACGAAACCCCATGGCATAACCAAGAAGATAACATAAAGGATGTACACTCATTAGTCTTAATATTCGTATATGACACTTGGGAACCATTTGGGTTATAACAGAATTAATTGGGGAGCTTTCAACCAAAAGCCTCGAGTGTTTTACTTCCCTATTTTAAAAAGTGGAAAAATAATCTTTGGTCATCCATATTTACAGAAGGGCGTAGGAATAGTCATTATGTAAATGAGATGATCTTGGAGTCATAAAAGCTAGAAGAGAGAAAAGACCTATTAGCTCACCTAGTCTGTCTCTCTGCAACGCAAGGTTGTTTTCTAGTTTTTAATGAGCCAGCCTATGGAGCTGAGGCCACATCCCCTGGGAGGCTATTCCAGGCTAATGCTAATGCATTAGAAAATTTGTCTTTCGATTTTGTTTCTCTTCCTTAATGTAATTGTGAGGTTTTTTCCTATCTGATACTCCCTTTTAACCTCCTAATTCCCTCTTGTTTTTAGTTGTATGCGTTCTACAGACGCTTGTCAACTTTGGATTAGCCATTCCACTTAAAGATCTAACCATATTTACTTTGTCACTGTTTTGGTAACTGGTTCTTTTCAGCCCCCATCTAACTTAGATATTTCTGGTACCTGATGCAGGATTGGAGGTAGAGTGCAAAACTCACAATTCTTTATTTTCCCTTTATAGTCTCTCTATATATGTTCTTAACTTTTCCAGTATTCCTATAATTTGTAATCAGGATCTGGTTGGATATTGTACATCTCTGTCTACAGGCACAACATTTGGGAAAGAAATAATCTGTAGTGTCAAATGCCCGTTGTAGCTTGGGGAAGGAATCCAGTGAAATTGTACTGTCTCTGTTACTGCTGGTTTTCCCAGTGTGAATTGACTCAAGGAGTTGTTGCTCTTCCCTTGCAAGTCCTCCTTGAAATAAATGGTTACTGAACAGCCAAGCAGTAAGAGTAACAATAGTAATTTAAATCACAAAAGAGTTTGTTATTTTCAAGTATTCATTTAAATACATCCGTGATCACTTTAGTGCTGATAATGCTGTGGACATGCTAATAAATGCTTACCTGGAGACCAGCATGTGAAAAGAACAGTCAGGCTTAAACTAAACTCCTCCTTTGTTTGTGGCTAAGCTTCCTAGCTGATTAAGGGAGATCCCCTGGAAATGCACACATCTCAGGGCAGCATATATCACTCTTTAACCCTAATCCTTAAGTAGCAGAGCTGTGCTGGGCTCTTCATCTGGGTGGGTAGAGCAGTGGTGAATGAGTTAAGAGTCTTGCTTCCTACAAAAGCTTCTGCAATTGTTACCTCTGCAGCGTTTTGCAAAATACTTCGTGCCATTTGTCCATCAGCCTTCCACCACCCTCCTTCACACATGGTTATATTCCTCCCTGGCCTGTCCATACACACTCTTCCTATCTCCGGGTGTTCTGATTTACATCTAAATTGTTGGACTTTTCAGTCTCTTAGCTACTGAATGTTTTGGTTTTTTTTTATTTTCATTCAATGTCCAGTTCTGGCTCAGTTACTAAGGTCACGTGAGTATTCTCTTTCTTATACGTTGCTTCAGTCTAGGGGGTATTTGTCTTGACCCCTTGTTTGAGGAGTTTGTAGAAAAGGTGATGATCCTGCGTCAGTCTGAGTACCCAAGAAGCCACAATTCTAGAAGCACCAAAAAAAGTTATTTTGAGTACAAAGCTAATGTTGATGAAAAGTTTTGGACAAAGAAATAAAGTATTAAAAAGAGATACGTAAGGATAGGAAACTAGGAATACAAATGCATAGGTTAGTAATTACGGAATACTGGTGATTTGTAGGGATTGAAACGGAAGACTCAGTGAAGTAATACTAGCCAGTGAAACTAATGAGTGTGCACTTATAAATACTGAAAACAAGAAAAAGCGTAGGCCATATGTAAAACTGATGTTTAAAATAAATGGTAGAAGTGTTCAATCTTATTTCTCTTCATAGCAAGAAGTGTAGAGCTATCCCATGTGATACTGCTAGAATAAATAGTTCACTTGTTGAAAAGTGGGATGACGGTATTTGCTATAATTAAACATTTTGTGTCAACTAACACAAATAGGTTACACCGAGGAACTACCTGAATCATTAATGTTATTATTAAACAATTCTTGGAAAACTGGGGAAATGCCCAAATACTGAAAAACTACAGATGATCTTCCTATACTTAAGAAGGGCAAAAGGAGATGAACCTAGGGAATAAAACAATTAGCCTTCAGTCAGCACCGAGTTCTGTTTTAATTACGCTAGGCTTGAGATGATGGCTAGATATTCCCAAGTAGTGTCACAGAATGGTTAATGTAATACTCTAATTGTATGCTAATATCTAATTCTTTATTTTTTGATGATGTTAGTGAGCACGTCTTCAGAGAAACGTGTTGTCTTTTTAAACAAGACAGCATGTCTCATTGGTGAAGCCACCTTGTTATGTTTAGACCATTTCAAGAGTAAGAACTTCAAGCCTTATTGAGAACGAGAAGTGATCACCAGATGTTTTCCAGGGAAAGAGAAAGATTGTGTGTTTAAGACTGGACAGAAAATAGACAATAAGGTGGTTTTGGTTTATGGGAGAGAAGAATGGGGTTTTTCTCTGACAAGGTGCCCCATTATACACTAGGCACTTAACACTGAAATGCGGTGCCTTGGTTTCTAAGTGATTTCTAAGTGTCTACACTGCTTTTGAAAGTGGGACTGATACTGAGTCTCGCTGGCATGCCACTGCAATCTCATAAATTGCCACCTATCAACTAAGCATAGTTGATATGTGGCAATGCTTATAGCCTCTCAAAATCTGAGTTGAGGCAACTTAGCCTAGCCCTCTGTGAACAAGGTTTACACTAAATCATATTACCCTGTATTTGTCATGGGCAAACGATTCTTATCGGGGAAAATTACCTGGGCTCAGCTGGCATGTGGTAACTGCTGCTATTTCATCGCATGTCTCTCCTTGCTCCTTGCAGCTAAATTTATGGCACCTAACATTGAGCTTTCACTCTAGTCTGTGAAAAGAGGATGGCATCTCATATGGCAATTCCTTCCACCTTAAGATGTCTAAAATAGGTGGCATGAACTGGCTTCCTTCCTGGAGGTACTGATTGCTCTTCCTTTGCTGTAGAAGGCACCAACATGCTGTTTGAGGCCAAATTAATTCTACCTGTCTTAGCTTTGGAAGATCTCCTGTGTTGTTTTTAAGTCATAGAATCACAGAATGGTTGGGGTTGGAAGGGACCTTAAAGATCATCTAGTTCCACCCCCCCTGCCATGGGCAGGGACCCCTTCCACTAGACCAGGTTCCTCAAAGCCACATCCAGCCTGGCCTCGAACACTTCCAGGGATGGGGCATCCACAGCTTCTCTGGGCAACCTGTTCCAGTGCCTCACCACCCTCTCCAGGAAGAACTTCTTCCTGATATCTAATCTAAATCTCCCCACTTTCAATTTAAACCCGTTCCCCCTTGCCCTGTCACTACAGGCCCTTGTAAAAAGTCCCCCCCAGCTTCCTTGTAGGCCCCTTGTAATGTTTGCTTACAGAGCACTGAGCACAATTGCAATGCTTTGCTGGTGTAGGAAAAAACAATTATTCCTTATACTGACAGAAGCTGAGAGCTCTGCGTTTGGAAGTGCACTCAGTCTCCGGAAAAGGCAGCTCCTTTTATTTCCCTATCAGCTAACCACAGCGGCTGAATAAAGAGCAAGTGGCCTTAGTGGTTTTTTAAAGGAAATCTCAAGCATTGTTCTACAACCAAAGTTATAAATCTGTAATGGGAAAAATGGGGTGATCTATGGGAATCAGAATACAAATTAGGATAAACTATTGGGATTAGAAAAAGGAAAGTTGACTTTCATTTCAAATGGAACCTTGCGTACATATTTTAAAAGTGCTTAAGACACAAGCTCATTAAGTATACATTTTCATTTTTCCAATAATACAATGAACATGTCATTCAGTTAACAATTTACATGATTTAAAACCTATAATAGATAAAACCCAAACTTGGAGAAAGAAAATGCAGTAAGAACTAAGAGTAGCGCTTCATTCAGGACAAAAGGGTGAAACCAGAGCACATACTTAGAGTGGGAGAGTCAAGAGGCAGTGGCTTTCTATGAGAAATCAGTTTGACTTTCTTCGTGGTCACAGAATCACAGCATGCTGGGGGTTGGAAAGGACCTTTGGAGATCATCTAGTCCAACCCCCCTGCCAAAGCACATCCATCTAGAGCAGGTTGGACAGGAACGCATCCAGGTGGGTTTTGAATATCTCCAGAGAAGGAGACTCCCCCATCTCTCTGGGCAGCCCGTTCCAGTGCTCTGGTGCCCTCAAAGTGAAGTTGTTCTTCCTCATGTTGAGATGGAATTTCCTGCATTCCAGTTTGTGTCCGTTGCCCCTTGTCCTGTTGCTGGACACTGCTGAAAAGAGCCTGGCCCCATCCACTTGACACCCACCCTTCGGATATTTATAAGCATTGCTGAGATCCCTTCCCAGTCTTCTCTTCTCCAGGCTAAACAGACCCAGCTTTCTCATCCTTTCCTCGTAAGGGAGATGTTCCAGTCCTCTAATCATCTTTGTAGCCCTATACTGGACTCTCTCCATAGTTTCCTATCTTTCTTGAACTGGGGAGCCCAGCACTGGACACAGTACTCCAGATGCAGCCTCACCAGGGCACAGGAGAGAGGGAGGATGATCTCCCTCGACCTGCTGGCCACACTCTTCTTAAAGCACCCCAGGATACCATTGGCTTCCTGGCCACGAGTGCACATTGCTGGCCCCTGGCTCATTTGGTGCCCAACCGCCATGCAGAGCTGCTTTCCAGCAGGTCAGCCCTCAGCCTGTACTGGGGACTGGGGTTATTCCTCCCCAGGTGCAGGACCCTACACTCGTCCTTGTTGAACTTCATTAGGTTCCTCTCTGCCCAACTCTCCAACCTGCCCAGGTCCAGCTGTACGGTGGCACAGCCTCCTGGTGTATTGGCCACTCCTCCCAGTTTTGTGTCATCAGCAAACCTGCTGAAGCAGGTGAAACACTGTGTCCCCTCATCCAGGTCACTGATGAATATGTTGATCAAGACTGGGCTCAGTACCGACCCCTGGGGAACACTGCTAGTCACAGGCCTCCAACTAGATTCTGTGTCCCTGATCACAACCCTCTGAGCTCTGCCATTCTGCCACTTGTCAATCCCACTCACTGTCCACTCATCTAACCCACACTTCCTAAGCTTCCCCATGAGGATGTTATTATGGGATACAGTGTCCAAAGCCTTGCCGAAGATGAGGTAAACAACATCCACTGCTCTCCCCTCATCCACCCAGCTAGTCATGCCATCACAGAAGGCTATCAGATTGGTCATTAACATTGACTGGTGAAACATATTCCAAATTTTGCTTAATAAAACGTGTCTGTCCCTACACTCTGCTGTCATTTAATGTTCTCTAAGTATCATAAACTTGAACTCTGACATCTTTCTACCATACAATGGCTTGCTTACTTTGTGCAATTGATCTAGCTGTGGTAATAGTCAGTAATTTTGAACTCAGTGCAGAATTCCTGCCTGAATTGGTTTACCTATCGACTGCCAATTGTAGCTAATTTGCATTAAATATATAGTGCTGTTTAAACTCATGTTGGTTACTTTAAAAAATTTACTACAGATATTAGAAAATTTGGAACAAGGCTTAGCTGAAGATGGAAGTATGACTAACATGACACAGGAGAACAGACAAGGTAGGTATTCTGTATACATTTTTTTCACTGGCAATGTGTTTTTATCTCTTGACGAAGTATGCCAGAAGTTTTCACAAGACTGCGCTGGAGTTGTTAAAACAGTATTTTTGCAATCTCATAGCCTTCTCAGCCTCTGAAGTGATACACCTCATACTTCTGTTTGCTGGAATTAATTTCACAGTTTTGCCCTTGATCAAACTGATGTACTAAATCAGTTTTTTTTTTCCTGCTTAGAAGAAACAAAGGACATGGCTGCTATCCTTTAGTGATGAATATCTAAGCGTATTGCTGTCACAGCTAGATGGATGTTTCATCTTAAGCCTTGGCTGACTGGCTCCTCTTGGTCCTCATGCCTGAAATCCACTAAATTTCTTTAGATCAAACTGGCATCATACAAGGCCTACACTGGCTTAGGATGTGGCTACATAATGTCTGAGTCTCACTGTAGCTGCATTGTACTTAGACTCCTGAAATACTTAGGTCACTTTTTAGAATAAGGTTTAGATGATACTGAGTAGTCTACATCATAATTTTCATTTTTTTTTTATGCAATTATGTTTTTTTCCTGTTCCTTCTATCTTAGTTATTTAACTTTGGTAGTATAGGATACATTACTGCATAAAGGAAGGTTATCAGGACAAATTCATTGTCTAAACATCAGGGTATTTTAATGGAATTTATACTAATGAGGTCATAGAATCACAGAATGGTTTGGGTTGGAAGGGACCTTAAAGATCACCTAGTTCCAACCCCCCTGCCATGGGCAGGGACACCTTCCACTAGACCAGGTTGCTCAAAGCCTCAAAGGTCGTTTGAATACACTTAAGAATTTGACAAGAGGTGACCTTTTAGGCATTGTTAAGGATGATATGAACCACTCAGTGCCTGGCAAGTTAAGAACATCACACCAAGAAAACAAAAACCTTTCTGCCTCAGCTAACAGTCTAAGAAATCTTACCAACTTCTTTCCAGGATAACATTTACCTAGAGCCTGTGGGAAGTAAACGTCTGCTGCTGAGGCAGGAAGAGGCTGAGTAGAGTTGTTAGCAGAGTTAAAATAAATATTATAACCAATTCCCTAAAACAGTTTCTGCATCGATGGGTACAGACTTGTCTGAACTCTTCTGCATGGCCTTCAAATTGACGGGATGTAAAGCATCCTTAATGTGTTACTCTAGTTGACTTAATGCACCATCTAGACATGTCCTAAAAAAATGAACACACATGAGCAACATGTATCATAAAGGCATTTGCAAATATAGTCAAATGAATACATTTGCTATTATTCTTAAAAAACTTAGGAAAAAGAGAAATAATCTGCTGTTGAAGGTTTATCCACAGTGCTCCAGGAGTATCTGTTCTTCTCTCCTTGTACCTACGATTCTTCTTGCCTCTATTCTCTGACTTACTTTCCCCTGTTATTATCCCCTTTCTACCATCATTTTTGTCCTTATCCTCACTTTCTTTTCCTTTTTACCCCTTTAAAACCACAACACTGATCCCCCTTTAAGGTACAAGGGTTTTTTCCTAGCTGTGTCATAATCCTGTGTCCTGCAGTCTGCCCTCACCCGTGCGTTTGTGGCTCCTTGCTTTTCCTCCCTGCTTCTGCTTCAGAGCCGAGATGAGCTCAGCGGGAGGCATAGTTAGAAAACCAGCAGCGAGTAGATACCAAGGGACACGGCTGCTGAAAATTTGGAGAGATCTTCCCGTGTCTGCTGTGCAGCTGCCTGTAGGTTTAAGACTGCCAAAAAGCCCGTGGGGCCTTTGCAGAGACTGTTGACTGCTCCTGTCTGTGGAGGTCAGCCAGGTCTGCTCCCTGTCTGCTTCTTCACTGCATTTGGAGCTCCAGGAGGCTGATAATGGGTTTGATTTTTTTTTCATGTGAGACTAGCTGAAGCAAAGCTTATTAACTTTATGTGAAGACAGCCTTAATTCATTATGGGGATTATGCTTAGCCTGTCATTTCCTTATTGCTGGTGTAGGAAGGTGCCACACCAATCGACTTATCGTGTACATCTCCTCTAGTCTGGAACAGAGCACCTCATTTGCCAGTTTTCCAGCAGGCAGAGAGATTAAGCATTGCACCACTTGCCTGGTAACGCGTTCCGTAAGATGCGGATTTTGCAGCTTCTCGGTGCACAGAGCTCCTGTCGAAATGAATGGCAGTGTGGAGTACAGAGGCCTTGATAAATAACGAGGGAAAACAAATGCTTAGAGTGGAAGTGTGGCTGTTTGGCCCTGCATAGTGAGTTTCAGGCATCTCAGTAAGACGCAATGATCTGCTGTTGAGTTTTTGATTTTATTCACTGCTTCGCAGGTTTTTTTTAACCCCTTTCTGCCAGTGCTACGAAGCTTCATCCCACAGGGCTATGGAATTTCCAGATCAGGTTCCTGTTCAGTTTATAGCACAGGCTCAAGTCTGTCTGCAGTCCTTTCTGAGAACCATAGCTGGTGCTATTCAGTTGTTAACAGGAAACCTGGAAGTCTCTGCTGCAGGAATCAACATCACATTTGTTGTCACTAAAAGGGTGAATGTGGTTACCAAACTATGAGACCATGCAAAAGGAGAGATTAATATAAGGAAAATAATAAAAGAGAGTTATTTAATTATGTCCAGGTTTTGCAGACACCCACAGGGAAAGGAAACCAGAAATGTATCATAAAACATTTGCTCATGGTTTACAGCATCTTCTTCATTAATAGCAGAAGGGATGCGTGGTCGAGGGGGAATTTCTCAAACAAAAGCTAGGAGTAGTGAGTAATTTTAAGGTATGGTTACTGAGTTCAGTCATGGGCCCCCACATTGTGCTCTGCTTTCGACCAAGATGATTTGAGAATATTCATGGGTTGATTTTTTAGTTTGTTGTTGGAGAGGATTGAAGGAGTTTTTTAAGAAGGGGAGTAGACATTTCACCAAGCTCTCTTCTTATTTGTAATGGCATTTATGTGTGCTGAAAGAATTATCTATGTGACCTACCGCGCTTTCATCAGAGACTACGTTATTGATACAAATGAGTGGGCTTAGTTATCACAATCTGATTGAAATAGCCTCTTCTCCCTTTCGTCCCCCCCTTTCAAATCATTACAGTGACCTTGACAGCTGATTGACTGAGATACATTTCTTTTCCAAACGTACTAAATTAATACTCCTAGGGTTTTTTTGAGGATTAGAGGAATATTTCTAGCATTGATCTGTGCTGCTGTAACACAAGAGAAAGTAAGGATCTGTGTGAACCATTCTCTTGCAACATCAGGAGTCCGTCTGCAAAGCAAGAGAGAGAAATTTGCTGCTGCAGCTTTTAATGCCAGCAAGCTCCAGGAGCATGGGGAAAGCAGACAGGCTTGGCAGATTTTTTCCAGCATATCTCTAAGCCAGAGGCAAGCACAAACAGCCCCAGACTCAGACAGTTCTCACCCTGCATGTTTTGGCTCTGAAATGACATTTTAGCTATGTTTGATTTTTGAATTTATCACATTTAATGATGTAGATTACATGTTTTTAAACTGATGCTCATTATCGCTTGAATCTTTTTCTGCACCTTTTGTTCTGATATTGGAAAATCTTTGGCTTCTTCTGGTGTTTAATATTTGGCTGGAGCTCAAAGCTGAGCTGAGTCTGTTGCTCTGCATTGTTGCATCGTGTATGGTACCCAGAGCCGCTTGAGCAGTTCCCTCCTAGAGATGCAGAATTTTCTGTCTGATGGTGCAGCATGGCTGAGAATTAAACATTCTAGGCTAAAACCCAGTGGTGTTAACGAGGGGGATCTTTCGAAATCCTAATTCATAGGACCAATAATTGATGGCAAGAAAGAACCTCTAATTTATTTGTGCAAATTCACAAGCTGCTCTTATTTTGCAGGCTCTGTTCAGCTGTGGAGGTCACGTCTGGGCCGGGTGATGTACTCCATGGCAAACTGTCTGCTAATGATGAAGGTACGTGGGTGGCAGCAACTGCAGAGGTACCGTATATTCCAGAATAGAGCCTCAGAGAAAGTGCAGAGAATTACTGGTGCATAGATAAGGGAAGAATACCTGACTGTACATGAAGGTTTTGCTTAGTGAAGAATTAATTAGACTTAATAATGTCTTATTTAATAGATAACTATTTGCAGTAATGTTCTTTGGGAACGTATCTGTACTTATTTCTCCCCAAATCATCCTAGAGAACATGCAATAACAATACAGAATTTGCATTTTTAAATTGAATTTTTCAAACACTTAACTAAATGCTGTAATTAAAAGCAATTATGTGCTCTGTCTTTTTCAAACTGTGCACTAGGAATGTTGCTGTGTTTGTGAGGATTAATAATACTATAGCCTTTGTATATGATGAAGGTTCAGAACATCTAAATACATCCTCCCCTGTCAACCTATCTCAGTTGTAAGATCTTCTTTCAAGTTTAAATCCTCACTAGTGGGTAGCGGTGGAAGAGAAAGGGATAAAAGCAAAAGTAACTAGCTTCCACAGTTGGATTTTATTCCCCCTTGATTCTTGCTTACCTTTTTAACCATTCCTACTCAATTTGGTGCAACTCTCTTAACTTCTCCTTATACTCAGGAAGTGGAAATAAAACTTCTGCCATTCACCTCATGGTCAGGGAAGCAGGGATATCGCCATCCTTGCCGCAAACTGCTGTTATCCTGAGCTTAACTGTACTTCACAAATCAATTAGCAGCAGTAGCCTCGGAGCAGAGCTGTCAGCAGTATAATCTTCACAGGCCAAGATTTGCACTCCTTGCCCCCTGCTCTTTGATTGCCCAGGGTCATGCCAAACCTGACCCTCTGATGTTTATTATGCTACTTCCCAAACAGGGCGCCATTCTTAATATTATACTACCTTAAAAAGCATGCATTTTTTTAGTTAAGATCCAGTTATCCAAATACTGCTTTACATGAAATGGCATATCCTTTTTATGATAATTAGGGAAAACAGAAATTTGTATTTATAATGATATTGCGATCAGAACATTTCTGTTTTGAATAGAAATAATTATCCATGAAAATAGAAGTGAGGTATTTTTAAGAATTAGTAAGGATATGTGTTTTGAAATAGCTTCATTTTTTAAGGAACTTTATTTTTTGAAAAGTGGAGAAAAACATGAGTTGCCTTCCCAAACAAAGAAGAATATATATGAATAAGGAAATTCTGGTAATACGTTTTTTCAAGAAGGGTACTTTACTTTTGGCTGGGATTTGTTTTTAACACTTCCAGTGTTTTTCTTCTTGTGTACACACCAATCCATGTGCATCCGCAGTTCTCACCTTTCTTCTGCTTTGGTCCCGTTAGTGCTGTTTTTTTCTAGTAACAGAAATATTTGTGAATACCAATTATCACCTTTGTGGAAATGGCACTTCAGAAATACTGCAGCTCAGATACTTCTTCAAACCAATTGTATTTAGGGCCTATCTTGTAGCCATTCAATTAGAAATCTGTCGTTCCACAATAACTTCCAGATTACCCACAACTGCATGTTAGTGCATAATTACTTCCATCAGAAATTTGCATTTCAGTGCATTGGCCATGGAGTAGTTGCGTGTCTCTCAGTTTTCAGGACTAGCCCTGTATGTTTAAGGAAGGTTTTTTCAAACATTGTTATGTTGCAGTTAAAAACAGAATAGTACATGAAGCTGATTTTTTCCGCTTATGTGACAGATCCTCTGTGAGAGAATTATATTGGTTATTTATAAATTGAATATTTTTAAGGCCATTCTAACATGCAGCAATGCTATAATAATCTTCACCTTCTGGAGTATTCAGTATGAAACTGTTTCTTCAAGTGATTTTTAAACACATTTTTGTTAATTCTCCTATGAACAATTGTATTAATTGAACAGTTCCACTTCTTTTTTCGTTTATGTAATGCACTTTAAAAACTGCATTTGTTTTCATTTAAGTATTTCAATTATATGTAATTATATTATTTAGAAAAAAAACCTCAACTGATTCCATTCTCCAAGTCTGTGCCATCTATTGCCATCTAGTGGACATTTAGAATATGGCGATATGATCATATTTGATCCCCAAGTACTCTTAGGTGAATGGAATAATTTGTGCTATTAGTAGATTAATAGTAATCTTTTATTAAAGTAAAACTACGTGGCATCAGTATAAATTAAAAAAAAGAAGTGTTATCTTTCTTTTACTCACCTCTTTCTTTGGCCAGAAGACTTCAGTAGCATTTAATAGGGAACAATCTTGTCAGGATTGACTCTTGAAAATAATTTTTAAAAAAGACTCTGATTAAAGTTGGGCCTACAACTATTTAAATCTGCTTTGGTTATCCTCAACTCTAATTAGGTTTATTTCATGTCATACCTCTTTTGTATTCCTTATCTGACTCCAGGAATTTTGTTTATGAAGCACAATGATTTTTGTCTTTTTAAATATGGCCTCATTAGCTTCATAGCTAAACATCTCATTAAAATATTGAGATGGAGGAGTATGTTGTTTTGGAGGGAGTGAGTGAGGTGCAAAGAAGTGATTCACCTAGACTTGTGCAGGAAATCGACAGAGGAACAGGAAATTAATCACAAGCCTCCTTGACCCGGGGACCATCCTTCCTAGGTACTGAATTCTGCCAGCTGTGTCCCTTTATCTGTGTGGCCAACGATACGTTCACTAGCAGCTTAAGGCAGGCTCACTATACTTTTTTTCCCTGATCATCCCCTTTTCTTCGTACAACCTTTCTTAAATGTATTCTAGCTTCCTTCCGTGCACCACTGTTGACTTAACCAAGTGACAGGTACAAAGAAACGGTGGTTCTGGCTCATACCAACTGAATCGGCTTTTCCCGCTCGTGTGAAAAAGGAGTGACTTAAGGGAGGACGTGGAAATACAGCAGGAAGGGAAGGGGAGACCACATAACATGTCACTGTAGGCTTCCGTTTACACGAACTATGGGCTTAGGTTCCTATGAAAGCGTCCCCTGAGTATAGCAGCGTGGGGGAATATTCATTTAAAATGCAACTGATGATGCTCATTGATTCATTTCCGCAGTCTAATTCCAAAACTTCTGCCATTTTACTAAATCACCATGGAAGTGTCTTGAAAACTTGTTCTTTTCATCTGAGCTAAAGTTGCTTTTGACATCTTACCAGACTGTTACCTCTCTGAGCAATAAAGACTTAAGTACTTCCCATATATACTATAAATGCACTCTGACTGAAGGCACATTTTTGTACTTTCTAGATTTTTTCAGTGTTGTCGTAGCTTTTGTAGAACTTGCCCTTCGTAAAAAGAAAAGCATTAGAATTGATTTTAATTTGGGTCTAATACAATTAAAACTGTACAGAGAAGGAGGTAACAGCTTGTGCTAATGACGCAAGGGACTGATGCCTAAGGACTTTAGTTCCTCTATGGTTTAAAGGAGAAAGACTGCATGAATCATTGTGTCTTTTGCCTAACAGTGCTGCAGTACTGCTCTTTGGATTCATAACCCTGTGAATCTCTGCTTTCGTAACCCTTCCACAAGCGCACTAGAGAGAAGAAGGATAAGTTATCCCTGTATTCTCTTCCCAAAATTTAGTATTTATGAACTATACGCTTTGCATAAGTAAAGCTGATTTTTAGTCTGTGGTTTATTGAACGTGCTCTCAGCATTCTACACATCATGGCTATTTATGCTTAGTTCTAAATATCTCCTAATTAATATTTTAAGTACTTAAGGTGGTGGTGAGAGAAATGTGAAAATGTATAATGCAGTGACCATGAAGGGAAGTACAGTTATACTGCAGTGCATCAAAGGACAAACAAACCCACTTGTTGTTTTTGTAGAAGCAGACCTAATAGCTTACTAGAACTGTTTTGAATGACTTTATTTAATATTAGCTCCAAATTTTCATAATAAAAGAGATATTGAATTATAAAACAATAGCCCAATTCCCATAACCTGATTTGTGTAACTTCACTCCTCCTTTTGGAATTTTTTTATGGTGTGGAAAATCAGAAGGCTCGCAGTCTTTAGAAATTAAAGGCCATGACAATACGTCAGCCCCACCTTAAAGTCTTTAGATCGCAAGTCATTAGGGTTTTTTTACTGGCAGTACGTAATACGCCTTAGTATCTGCCTTACTCCTCACAGCCACAGCTTGTATCAACCAAGGCTTCACTCCTCTGGGAGGGTGTCTATTTATCATTGTCACAGCCAATTTTTCTTACACCGTGTCACATTAGCAAAGCTGGGAAAGAAAACAAATCTTCAGTAAATGAGGGTAAATCTCATCTACTTTACAGTATGCTCCTTCAGAAGGGACTGTCAAATAAGATGCTTTTATAACTTACCATGGAATCATATCATTCCATGTCACATGTAGGATACTCTACTGCATCCATGAGAGTGGGGAGGGAAGGGTAAATGCATATGAAACTTGCTGTGGGATCCTGGACTAACTACAAAATGAGGTGGCATTTAGAAGCATGCCTGGATATTGTGATAATTTTTTACAGTTTCATCCTGGGGTCATCCTTTCCTGTGCTTAGAGGTGGCTTTGGACATATGTAACTTTGTCTCTTATCATCATCTCCTGGAAGAAATGGGTCCCATTCCGGTGACACGTACTACAAGGCATAGGGCAGATAAGCACAGATGCTATGTGCTGTGCCATCGTATGGAAACAGGGTGCTGGATCCACGAATACACTGCGTAGACAATGCTACACCTCCACTCTCACATTTTAGGAGGCGTGAATGTTTACATACTCCTGCTTACAATGCATATGATGATGTAGTCACTTGACAAGGAATGCTGAAGGGGAGGAGGGTTTGTTTGCCTGATTAGGCCAAGTCCATTAAGCCCCCACAGAGCAGGCCCCCAGGACGTTACTTGGCTGCCTGTTCCTACCAAGGCTGGCTACTACCTACCCTAGGGAGCCTGGGATGTTGCAGTTGTGCAAACAGTGCCCCTTCATGCAGCTTCTTCTGGCCAAGAATTTTCGGCAGTCAGATCATACTAAACTGTAAACTAAGCTGACAGAAGAAACAGTTTTCTATCATCTTAACTGCATGACTTCCTGGGAGTTGTTTCTACATCACTTTGGGGATGTGACTGTAAAGCCCCCATCCCTCACAGCTGTGCTACACATCTCTGTTGTGTAGCCTGAGCCTTAGAGCGTGCATGAGACCGAGCGCTGGATAAGTGGCAGCTTTAGAGCATAGAATGGAAGACCTTGAGCACAAAAGGTAGAATTCAATACAACAAAATTATTTCTCCAGTGAGCACATTTTATGCTTTAAGGGGTAAAATTCACAGTCATCCACAATCCTTCAGTTTTTATAAATGACACTCTTGCAGGTATTAATAGGTAGTACAAATGTGGCTGTGGTTCCTCTTAGGTCACAGTTCAGAGGATCCCTATTCTGAGTTTTGGATGCCTACCTAACACAGTGGGACTCCATGATCAAAGAAGTCCTTTAGTGAGAGCCGTTACAGTGAAAATGGAGTTCTACCTAAGTCATAAATTTATGAAAAATGTTGGTAGCATAAATTTCCTCACATGTCAGTTCTGAATACTAAATAAATCAGAATTTAAATAAATATATTTTTGTGTATGTGGCCCATTGTATTTGCTCTGAACTCTTTCTGTGACGAGCAATAAGCATGAACATGGCATGGCACACTAGAATTGGAATACACTCTATATTTTAATTATTAACTGTTAAGAATTAATCATTATACCCACGATATACAAGTTGTTGGCAAAATAAACCTCCTGCAGAGTGCCTCCCTGGGCTGTTTAAGCCACCCTCTAATATTATAGGACATGTAGTTTTTCTCATATACAGATCAGATTCCAAAGACTTCTCTGTGTTTTTGGTGTGTATGAAACAATTAGTATGTTCCAAATGGTGACCTGGTGGATGGGTCAAGTAGGGTTCCATCCTTTTAAGTCCAACCTCAGGAAAATAAGTTCATTACATCTGGGGCACGTGGGCTCCTCAGGCTAAGTAGCAGATGAAGAAAAAGTACTTTTACCAGCAGCTGTGATCACATTAGGGACAAGTTAAATGAGCACTGTAATTCGACAGTAGGTAGAGAGTATCCCAAGACATCTCTGCAGTTTGAAGGATTAGTCTTTGATGTCTCCTGCTTCCTAACACCCACGACAAATTCTTGCGTTTAGTTGAAGGGCAGGACTGTCAGGAAGCACAGCACAATCTTCTGCCTTTGCATATGCCTGGCTTTTAAAAGCAAATGCACACTTTCTCTGCCTTTGCTGTGGATTGCCCCAAGCAGCTATAGCTGAGGTTAGTGCAGCTGTGTGCCCTGTGAATGTACCTGCTACGTGTGTTCTGGTCAGCTTAGAGCACACACAGAGTTTCTCATGTCTGCCTGCCAAACACCATGTAGCCAGGCTCTGAAAGTCATTTCTTGCCCAGATCTTTAATTACTGCAGGTTAACCCCAAAACAGCTGGGCTACAGTAACCAGTCATGTGGGCATTCCTTTCCTGTGGGAAATGGGACCAGGATCTTGTTTAACCCTCTGTCACTGGTCGTTTTCTGGAGGGTATGGGTGCACTGCATTGGGAGCTGGCGGGTCTCAGAGCTGCCGCTTGCCACCACGGTCTTTGTGCAGGTGTTCTGGGGGGGGTCACTTGCAAAGCTTCCTGGAGTTCAGAACCAGCCCACCCCCCAAGTAGTTTTAGCCCAAATCAGTTTTCTATTTAGATTAGCTGCATATTTTCTTTCACACAGTACGGTAGAAGGGGACAGGGGTTTGGGCAGAGGGATAGAGAATGTCTTGTTTCCCTCGGTAGCAGTGCTGTTTTGTCATCTGAAAATGTGCATGAATTGCAGCTTTGGTTGCACGGTATTTTTCACAAGTCAAGAGCATGTGCACAAGCAGGTCCCAAAGCTTTGAAACGTGGTTTGTTAAACCGTGTAAATTGTACATATATTTGAAGCACGTGACACCTCCCAAGTATGTATACCCCAGTCACACAGAAGCTTTTTGACTTTAATCCTAAATCATAGTCTAATCTGAAGAATAAATGTTCAATTTTTTTGTTCTTGGCATTTAGCTACAAACATAATAGGATCCATCTGGGGGGAAAAAAAAAAAGGAAGAACCCTTGTATATGCAGTTCTGGTGTAAGTGAGAAAAGACCAATAAAGCCAGCCACTACTGCCTGCAGTGATAGCTAGAAATTCTGTCCCACTGACAAGTTGCAATTACTTTAATTCTGTTTAAATATGTCTTTAAAACATAAAGACTGAAGAATACTGAGCTTAAATATTTGGTCGTGTGCTTTTCACCCCTTAGGACTACGTGCTTGCTGTAGATGCTTATCACACCGTCATCAAATACTACCCAGAGCAAGAGCCTCAGCTGTTGAGTGGAATTGGAAGGATTTTCCTTCAGGTACACGTTTTATTCTAAATCTGCTATGTAATACTGCTGTTGACAGCTATATGGTGAATAATTGTTGAATTTAAAACTATAGTTGTTTTTATAGGGCATGTGTCAAATTGTAGAGGCAGTGGTCAGAACAAAAAAAACCTTCTACCACATGATATTAGATAAAGTTAGGAAATATAAAGCCCTGATAATATTAAACGTACATGCACGTACATTAGCAAAGAACATGCTGTAGAAAGTTATGCTAATAATTTAATTAAAGAGCAACATTCTGCTTTCCCTAAAATTAATGGTAAAGCTCCCATTGAACTGCATGAGACAGAATTTCACTAGAAATATCATTTCTCACTGCCTCAAACTTTTTTTCACATTGTATAACTGCCATCTTCATCTAGAAAAAAGTTTCCTTCTTTTTCCAGCTTATATCCATGTAGCGCTGTACAGTAATAAGTAAAAAAAAAAAGGACAGTAGTACTTTTATGCTTATCAGAAAATGACGCATCTGAACAATTAGTATCTGATTGTTTTAGTTTTTAGTATCTCACAAGTTCCTCACACTTCTTTCGTATTTTTGATACTTACATTTCAAACTTTTCCTTTGTATCTACTTCCTTTTATTATTTATTAGAACTACTTTAAGGTCCCTTCCAACCCAAACCATTCTATGATACTATGATTGTTTGCTTGAATTCATAGAATGTCATTCAAACTCAGTTACGGATTTTCAGTTCTCAAAAAGTTTTCACAGTGTGATAAAACATGTTTGTCTTTAAAAGTTGGATTTAAACTGAATCTCCATCACCGTAGAGCAGTTTTATGATATTGGCTGTATGCATTAATTATTACCTAAATAAGTAACCTACTAATTATGCATATTAAAGAATGGCACTGTAAATATGTATAACACTATTGGAAATACAAGTTATTCATAGTTCTGGTCTTACTGGGAAAACGACTGGGTAGTTTATTAGCACTGCCTTGCTGACAAGAGGGTCTGCCCTAGTGTTGCACTCTCCAGTCTGTTAGTAGCTCAGTTTGGTACAGAAAAATTGTCACTCTCAGGAGAAAAGCATCTCCTAACTTCAGAAAGAATTACATCCACCCCGTTTCGGAAGTGGTGTTTGCAGGCGCTGTACAGAGTCACTTGAAGTCATTGACCTCCACAACATCGGCTGTGACAACAGGCCTTTCGTGTTTACTGTCAGAACTGGACAGAGCCAAAGGGAGTATGAGGAGCCCTTGATATTTTCATGTGATCCTAGACAGTAGTTAATAAAAAGCATCACTTCTGAATTGAAATGTTCTCCTTTCTTCTAGCACCTTACGGAGATAAATTTTCATTGTTTGGCATGTTGTCTCTTCTTTTGTGACAAAATCTTCAGCTCTCTCTGGAGGGTACTGTTGCAATAGATGCAAGATTTCAGTGTATTAAGAGAAATAATCAGCGTGCAGGTAAACAAAACCAAAAAGTTCAAATCAAAGAAAGAGACGTGTGTTGTAGGGCTGGGCACACATCATTTTGGTAAGACCACTGCGTACTATGTGTGCACTGTTGATAAGGCATTCTGAAAAAAAATAAACCTCTGGCAGGTAAAATGGGAAAGCAATTTTCTTGTATTCAAATGTCACAGCTTCTCAAAAATAGGTAGTGATTCCCAAATAACCTCAGACTGTTCTCTTAACTTTGAACATTATCCAAGGGAGGCACAAGGGAGCCAGATTTTAGTTGCTTAGCAGTCACAAGTACTGTTTGACAAGAGATGTCACACATACGAAATAAAGCAATAGCATAGAATGAAGTGTAAGTTCAGGAGTTAAATAGATGTTGTGATTTACTCCCAGCCAGCAACTAAGCACCGAGGAGCTGCTCACTTGCTCCTCCCTCTACAGGTGGGATGGAGGAGAGAATCGGAGAAAAACCCTCATGGGTTGAGATAAAAACATTTTAGTAGGACAGCAAAGGGAGAGGAAATAATAATAATATCACTGATAAAGGAATATACAAAAACAAGTGATGCACAACACAACAATTGCTCACCACCTGGTGATCAATAGCCCATCCCCGAGCAGCAACCTCCCCGGTCAACTTAATAGGCTGAACATAGCACCTTAGGGCATGAAATATCCCTTTGGTCAATTTGGGTCAGCTGTCCTGGCTGTGTCTCCTCCCAGCTTTGTGTAGAGAAGAAGCTGGGAGAACAGGGGCAGTGTGACAAATTGAAACTGTCCTTGGCTTAATATAAACATTACTTGGCAACAGCTAGAAGATCAGGGTATAAATTGAAATCAGGGAGGTTTAGATTAGATGTCAGGAAGAAATTCTTCACAGAGAGGGTAGTGAGGCACTGGAACAGGTTGCCCAGAGATGTTGTGGATGGCCCACCCCTGGATGTCTTCAAGGCCAGGCTGGATGGGGCTTTGAGCAACCTGGTCTAGTGGAAGGTGTCCCTGCCCATGGCAGGGGGGTTGGAACTAGATGATCTTTAAGGTCCCTTCTAACCCTAACCATTCTATGATTCTATGATTCTATGATCAGTGTCATCGATGTTCTTCTCACCACAAATCCAAACATAGCCTCATAGTAGCTAGTATGAAGAAAAAGACTCTATCCCAGCCAAAACCAGCACAATACAAAAAGAAGATAACCTTTTTTCAACATGTAAAACCTTACTTGGTCTGTGTTTTTTCTTAATTAAATTGAGCTTACTAATTTAAGAATCCTAGAATGGTTTAGGTTGGAAGGGACCTAAAGGAACCGTGTCTTCGTTATCTTCACGTGTAGTGGGGCATACAGAGGCTTAGATCTGATGTACGGCCTTTAACTGTTGCCTTAAAGTAAGTGGGAAATGAGGATGAGAGAAGTGGAGAATGCAGGAAACGACAGAGGCTGTCGCAGAGAAATTTTCAGAAGCACTGTAATTCGGGCAGCAATCACCTGACCTGTAAAACAGAAGTTCACATGAAACAGGGAAACAGTGAACACATTTCAGTCTCTAGGATATTACTGTGTGTTGACAATAGACTCTGCTTGCTGGCTGACCTATCCAAAATTGCCGTTTAAATAACTACATTAAAGAATTAAGAAAGTGGAAAGCTGCCTGACCTTACCCTCTGCAATAGGTTGCTGCAACGCAGAGTTAAAAGCAATAAATAAATCCTTGGAGTACTTAAGAAAAATAATCTTGGTTTCCAGACAACAACCAACTTAAGCTCATTGTGTATTGGAGGCTCCTTGTTTGAGGATATGATTGATTGAGGTTAGAAGAGGAATTTTCATTGGTATCCGAAGTGCTAATTATTATTAGATACTGAAGTCAGGCTTTCTGAACTAAGTTAAATAAAATTAAGTGATGAAGACAGCTAAATATTTAACATTTAATGACTAATTAAAACTAATTATTTTAAATGTGGTGCCCCAAAAAAAAAAAAAGTAAACTGTTTCCCCTCAGTGGGAAGAATGAGAATTAAAACTTCGTCATGTTTGCTGAGAAGATACAAGATGCTGCTAAGAAATGAGAACTCTTCATATCCCAAATAAGGTGTGATTAATCTCAAAGCATATTAGATTTGTACTCGTCCAGCTCCCAGTGGAGCAACTGGTGGTTTGCCTAAGAAACGGATGAACCTCATGGTTAGGGGCTTCCTTCTAATTCCCAGGCTAAAACCACTCAAGGATGGATTCATTTACACTTGCTCAAGCATTATCCTTTAGTTAAAAGTAACTATTTTCTTGGTGGTTTACACCTTTATCTATGGAAATAAATTAAATCTTCAGTCCTTACAACTGAATGAGTATGTTTTCAGAATGAATTATGTTTGTTTTGTTTGAGTCCAGTTATTTAACATCTGGGACAAATGTCTGTTTAATTAGCTAGAGTATTAATGGGTATCCATAAATGTTTTGGTAGATGGACAGTTGCATCTTGAGTTGGATCATTCCCCAGATAATTTCTTTACGTTGTCAAGGGAAAGCAGTACCAGTCAGACAGTTGATGTTAACAGGGCTTTGGATACTGCCACTCTGATAAGCAAATTGGGAAGAAATCCAGATGAAACCTTAAAACGGATGTTTGCTGTGTCTGAAAAGTGTCCTGGGGAAGTCATTCACTGGAAGACTAGAAGGAGTCACGAGATGATTTTTTCCACAAGGATCCCTTTAGGGTTTGCAGTGTTTTTATTTTTCAGTTGGGTGCTCGTACGATGAAATTAGAAACATGCTTGTAAGACGTAGCAAGCTGAGAGTGGTGCAGACACTATGAAGGGCAGGATCAGAATGCAAAATAATCTTGACAAGCTGAGAAACTGAAACGTTAAACTGGCTGTGATTCAAACAGCAAAGGCAAAATACTTCCAAAGACTGGGAGTAACACACAAATACAAAATGGGAAGGAACTAACAAGATACTGTTCTGTAGAAAGGAATTAGGCTAAGGGTAAGCAAGCTACACATAGGTAAACAAGTCGGACTTCCACAATACTGTGGCACGAAAGCACATTTTGTATTCACATATGAAACATAAAGTAGTTCTTCCACACTCACTGCTGGAAAGAGATTAGTTGGAGATCGGCAGGCACCTGTGAAGCAACAGGAGAGGGTTTCTGTACTCTGCTCTGGTGAGACCCCACCTGGAGTGCTGCATCCAGCCATGGAGCCCTCAACATCAGAAGGATATAGACCGGTTGGAGTGAGTCCAGAGGAGGCCACGAAGATGCTCAGAGGGCTGGAGCACCTCTCCTATGGGGACAGGCTGAGAGAGTTGGGCTTGTTCAGCCTGGAGAAGAGAAGGCTCCGGGGAGACCTTATTGCACCTTCCAGTACCTGAAGGACCTACAAGGAAGCTGGGGGGGACTTTTTACAAGGGCCTGTAGTGACAGGACAAGGGGTAATGGGTTTAAACTGAAAGTGGGGAGATTTAGATTGGATATCAGGTAAAAGTTCTTCACGGAGGGGGTGGTGAGGCACTGGCACAGGTTGCCCAGAGAAGCTGTGGATGCCCCATCCCTGGAAGTGTTCAAGGCCAGGCTGGATGAGGCTTTGAGCAACCTGGTCTAGTGGAAGGTGTCCCTGCCCATGGCAGGGGGGTTGGAACTAGATGATCTTTAAGGTCCCTTCCAACCCAAACCATTCTATGGTTCTGTGATTCTATGAACCACCAGAATGATCAGAATCCAGAAAGCATTATCTATGAGACAGGGGTGAACACTGATTTGCTTGAAAACTGATTCTCATTCTAGAAGGAGAAAGATAGGAGAAAGTGCAGTGAAGATTTTCAAGTATGTAAAAGGCTGTTAAAAAAAGAGGAGTTGTACTGTTCTCCCTGACCACTATGGATAAGACAAAAACTTGGGGTGAAAAGTGCAGTGAGACAAGAGTGTATTTTGCAGGTGTGTAAGAATTCTGGAGTCAGTTTCCTGGGAGTGGGTGTAATATTCACCCTCTGAGAGCTTTAAGGAGACTTCCACACATTTGTCACAAACATTTCTGGCAGTGCTGGTTCTTAAACAAGCAGGAGATCTCTTGAGGCCCCCTGAATCTCCCCACCAGGGTTGCCTGGTTTCCATGGCTTTACGCTCCTGAACTGGTTTAGTTGTACTCCTTTTGACAGATTTATTTTACCCAGTACTAACTTTTCCTTCCATCTGTCCAGCCCAAAATCACTGTGAAACCTTACCAAAAGTAGGAGTGTATCCCTCTGTGAAATGTACATTGGGAACTTATTTACCAACGAGGCCTTCTTCAAAGTTACTCGTTTTCATCTCAAATAGCAATGTATGTGACAAACCCTCAGGTGAAATACACCTTCCTTTCTAGGAATCCCCTTCCCTGCCCCCCTCTCCTATAAAATCTGTTCCTCTTCAGGCCAGTTTTCAAATCCCTCATTCCTTCAGCCTGCACAATCCCCTCCCCAGGATTTTTCCAGCTGCAGATGGACCATGCCCAACACCCGCGGTGACCCGTTGCACTGGGGCTGTGTTCGGATGTATTTTGGCTCATGCACTGAAGCCATCCTGTGGTCCCTGGCAGTGGGATAACACGAATGGGTCCTACGCGAGCTACCAGCCTACTGTATCCCAGTTCTTTTGCCCGTGGACAGCATCTCCTTCCCGCAGTCACACCCTGTCTCACTGAAGTAGTCCTGACCCTGTCTCCTTTTCAGCTAATTTTATAAACTCTGGAATCAGTGACAACAGAGGAGCCAAATGAGGAGGTGGGGCACCCCTGCCACAGAGTCCAGGAATGCTCACAGCTCACAGCTGAGAAACACTGCCTTTGGGGGTTCTTTCCATGATCTTACCGTGGCTCTCTAAATACCGTGTTTGGTAACAGATGTAACCCCGTCAGCTTGGTGCCAAATAGTTAGATAATGGACTTGGATATGTTCTCATGTTCTTATCCTTTGTAAAAGATATAATCAATCTGGATCTCTTCTCTTCTCCTTGTGGTAACTTTTTTCTGATCTTACCGTCTAGATCGGAGACATAAAAACGGCGGAAAAGTATTTTCAGGACGTTGAGAAAGCCACTCACAAATTGGATGGACTGCAGAGCCAAATTATGGTTTTAATGAACAGGTAGATAATTTAATAGCTAAATGAACCTTTAAAATACAGTTTTTCAAAGTATACACTGTGAGCATTAAACTAGCCTTGAGACAATCCCGGTCTCCTCCTCTCTTTCACGTAAGTCTATCTGTCAGAACCGAGACTGAATGGCATTTAGACCCAGGAGATCTGTATTACTGGGTACAGTCATATTATCCTGGATGGAAATTGTGATCCTTCCGTTGATTTTACAAGGCTCTTTCTCATTCTTCCAGGCACTGCGTATTTTCACTCTTCTTTTTCAGTATACATTTGCATAAATCACTCTTAGGAGTAGCTATTTGGGGCCCTTATCCTACAGTCAGATCTGCTGGTGAAGTTCCCACCTGGTAGTTCCAGAGCATGCTGGAATAACACTGTAGTAAATCGAGCTGCATGATGGGGGACTCCGTGTGTAATGGTTAGCACGTTGGCTTAATACATTTGGAAAACGCTGTTCAAAAGTCCTCTGAATATGACACAACATGGCTAATTTCGTGAAGAGAAATAATTCCTAGAGGAGAGTATCTGCATTTAAATTAATAAAAACACAGTGAAGACCATTGCTTTGGTAGGCAAGCACTATAATAGCCAAATGATCCAAGTTGTCATTCCATTTGTCTGTGAATCAGTGTCTCCCTGCTGGTTGTTAATTACACTGTGAAGAGCAAATGTCAGAAACCCTCACATCTGTAACAGGAAAAGTAAAAGCTGGTGTCCATTCTCTTTAAAACACATTATCACCTTGGGTTTTTGAGGAGAACTCATTCACCTGTCACTTCCTTTCTAGGGCGTTTCTCCACCTTGGTCAGAATAATTTTGCAGAAGCTCATCGATTTTTCACGGAAATTTTAAGGATCGACTCATCAAATGCTGTGGTAAATCTCCAAATTTATAACAAACACCTAAATTATTATCTTAATGCTTCATGTGTGGATTTAATTAGCAGCAGAATATGCTTAGAGCCTTATAGAAAAATCGGATGTGGCATGTGTGCCGAAGGGGATTTAGTGTACGTAAGATACAAAATGGGATGGGAGGTGAAGAGCCAGTCTGTGTGAAGGGCACGAATACTTAGGCAGTGTGCGCTGGCAGCCCAGAAAGCCAACCGTATCCTGGGCTGTATCCAGAGAAGTGTGGCCAGCAGGTCGAGGGAGGGGATTCTGCCCCTGTACTCTGCTCTGGTGAGACCCCACCTGGAGTGCTGCGTCCAGCTGTGGAGCCCTCAACATCAGAAGGATATTGACCAGTTGGAGCGAGTCCAGAGGAGGCCATGAAGATGCTCAGAGGGCTGGAGCCCCTCTGCTATGGGGACAGGCTGAGAGAGTTGGGCTTGTTCAGCCTGGAGAAGAGAAGGCTCCGGGGAGACCTTAGTGCAGCCTTCCAGGACCTGAAGGGGCTACAAGGAGGCTGGGGGGGACTTTTTACAAGGCCCTGTAGTGACAGGACAAGGGGGAATGGGTTTAAATTGAAAGTGGGGAGGGTTAGATTAGATATCAGGAAGAAGTTCTTCCCAGAGAGGGTGGTGAGGCACTGGCACAGGTTGCCCAGAGAAGCTGTGGATGCCCCATCCCTGGAAGTGTTCAAGGCCAGGCTGGATGAGGCTTTGAGCAACCTGGTCTAGTGGAAGGTGTCCCTGCCCATGGCAGGGGGGGGGGAACTAGATAATTTTAAAGGACCCTTCCAACCCAAACCATTCTGTGATATTCTATGATATTTCTGTGATACTCATTTGCAGCTTTCAGAAAGTGTGAGTTTCTGCTGCTAAACGTGTTATATGACTTTGTACCATTGGAATCTTCCGGTAACTCATAAAACCTTGTTTGTGTGGAAGAGAAAATGGAACCTGAGTTGATCATTTATGATTTATTTCAACTGCCCTGTCTGCTGAATTTACTTGAAGTCAGTTGTAGATGCCTTTGTGCTAATTTCTTCCTGTTCCTTATGTGGAACCCTCTGTAAGCCAGAAAGAAAAAAACTTCTGAAGATGGAGTGAAGTCATTAAAAAAAAACTATGAAAATGAGAGTGTGCAGAGGCTCATGTAGTTTCTGAAATCGGTTTCAAGTGAGTTTTAGAATCAACTAACATCCTATACTGTTTATATTGTGGTTTAGACTGTCTTTTAGAGTTTCAGCTCTTAGAAGTCAGCAAGTCCTACTGGCACAGGATAAACCTGGAGAATAACAAGAGGAGAAGGGTTGGATTGTATGATTGATAACGTATTTTAGTTACTTGCACACATGCACAAAAAACAGCAGTTCTTAGCACACAGTAAATCTGGTTTAACCCCAGATGCTAGGCTTCCTTTTCTCCTTCTCTCTCACCACTTGCAAGTCCGTACATACATATACTTACTTACTGACAGTATGCTTTTCTCTAGGCTAACAACAATGCTGCCGTTTGTCTTCTTTATCTGGGGAAGCTGAAGGATTCCCTCCGGCAGCTGGAAGGAATGGTGCAGCAGGCCCCTAAACACTACCTGCACGAGAGTGTCCTCTTCAACCTGACCACGATGTACGAACTGGAGTCGTCTCGCAGTATGCAGAAGAAGCAGGCCCTTCTAGAGGCTGTAGCTATCAAAGAGGGCGACAGCTTTAACACTCAGTGTCTCAAGTTGGGATAGGTCATTTCCAACTATTTTTTCCCAGCAAGGCTGATTTTTTAAATTGTATATACTCTTGCTAATGTGTAAATGTGAAATAAAATCTGCTCAGTGGCATGACTGCAGAATCCCTTGTGTCTAGCAGTCCTGCCGTTGTGAAGACTTTGTGCTGACCAAGAGCCGGCTGCACCCCTGCGAGTCCACTGCGGTGTAGTTACTCCTCCCCACAGCGCACTCTGCGCGTCCACTCGGCCGCTCCGGTTCTTCCTGTAAGAAAAGCTGAATTTGACCCCATCTTGTCTCGGTGACTGTTACAGTTTCTCGGTAATCAGTGCGCCAGTGGCCTGAGCTAAATCCAACAGCTGAGCGTGGCGGACAGAACATCAGTGCCTGTGTTACAGAAATGAAGTTCTGAGTGCGCTTCTCTTCGCTTGCTCCTGCTCTGTGTGTCATTTTGCCCCCGTCAGACTAGCGACTATCCCGCCTTTCTACCCACTGCTCGCCAGGGAGGGTGCGTGACAAACACCCAACAGACTCAGGCGCGACTGAGGTTGGAAGGGACCGCCGGAGCCCAGCTGGCCCAACCCCAGCTCAGGCAGGGCCACCTACAGCCAGTTGCCCAGGACCATGCGCAGGCCACACGTGAGGGAGCCATATGGTCTCCCGACCCCTCCCTGGCTTAGCGACACCATTACATTGTTCAGATTAAAGCATTTGGATTCGGGAAAGCTGAGGGTGGAAGCAGAGGATTTCTCTGTTCCCAAACTTAATGCTTTCTTCCATACTTTTTTCCTCTCTCCAGCTCTCTGGCTAACATCTGTGCTTGGTTGTCACCAGCAGATGGTTGGCTACAGCCAAAAGGTTGTTCGAGGACCCCCTTAACGTGTGCGTGTGCCTTTCAGCTCTCGGGTTACGGCTCTTCCTCATACTGACCCCACAGCCTGAGGATTCCTCTCGGCATAGACGGGCACAGCTGCTGGGTAGAGGAAGGAGCAGTTGGTGTGGAACACAAACCACCTCAGCTCCCCTCCTTTCCCGTTACCACCGTGCAGAAAGCACTTCCCGAGGAAAAGGATGGAGTGGCTGGGGCAGGGGTATCAAAGGGTCAGGCAACACGGTGGAAGCAGATGGGGTGATGCAGAGAAGGACGCGAAGTGGTTGTCCTTGATGCGACAATATCGGCGTGCAGGGATTTTGGCATGCCTTGGAACACAGATTTTTGGAATCACGGTACTACTGTGGTATCAGTGCATCTCACACCTCTGCCCACAGTTCTCCCTTCATCTGTATTGAAAAGGTTCAATCCAGACTCTTCCTTTCCTTGCGGGTGGGATGGGGAGGAGAAAATACGAGGAAAGGCTCATGGGTCAAGACAAGGACAGGGAGAGATCACTCAGCAGTTACGGTCAGGGGCAAAGCAGACTACACCTGGGGATGAGAAGTCAATTTAATTAGTTAGATTAATTTAATCACCAGTCACCTCTAAAGATAGAAGCCTAAGCTGTTCGTATACCGGCCATGTACGTTTTACAGGTCACACTTGTGCGCTGAAGCAAAGGGTGGGTAAGTGCCAATCCACTGAGAAAAAAAAACAGTCGGTATTTGTGTTTCTGGCTTGGCCTCCAGGTTCCACAGCTGGATCTGAGTTTAACCTTGTCCTGAAGTACCACCCCTGAAGTAAAAAATGAAAGATTCAGCACCACCTGCTGCAGTTGGGTTTCAGCACCGTTTACATATCTTCAGTGAGTATTAAAATACAGTAAAATAGAAGTAGTTACTCTTGCATTACTCTTTATGAGGCGTTACATTTGTTTTAAATATTGCTATGATTTTAGATGAGGTTTAACAGTCATTGGACGATTTCTCAGTTTATGTTGTCTTAACTGAGTTGCAATCAGTGTAGTTTTCAGTCCATCACAACTACTAATCACAGTGTGTTGCTCACTGTGCTCATTATAAGTGATTTTAGTAGTATGTTTTCTCCAGGACAGGTCGACAGGTCGCTTTCTTTGCACACGGGGCTTCTTAGGAGACAGAAATGCTGGCATGTAACCACTATTGTTCTCAAATACTTTGAGAGCACTGAACAATTTACCAGGGCCTGTAGTGACAGGACAAGGGGTTACGGGTTTAAATTGGAAGTGGAGAGGTTTAGATTAGATATCAGGAAGAAGTTCTTCCCAGAGAGGGTGGTGAGGCACTGGAACGGGTTGCCCAGAGAAGCTGTGGATGCCCCATCCCTGGAAGTGTTCAAGGCCAGGCTGGATGGGGCTTTGAGCAACCTGGTCTAGTGCAAGGTGTCCCTGCCCATGGCAGGGGGGTTGGAACTAGATGGTCTTTAAGGTCCCTTCCAACCCAAACCATTCTATGGTTCTAGTTTTAAAAAATTGTAATTATATGTAAATTAATATAACATATTTGCATGCATTTAGCTGAAGGTCAGGTGCCATATATACTGTTATACTATTGTCTACAATTTCAGGAACTTGGATTTGTCTTTTCCAACTCAGAAGTGAAAGTAGCATGATCCACCATCACCCAGCGTGCTGGAGCCACTTGCTTCTTTACAACTGAGGAGTAAAACGCTTCCTTTTTTGATTCAGTGAGTGCCTTACACTCCCTGCACATGTACATGACAGCCTGCATTCTGATAGGCAAAGAATAAAAACCTGTGATCCCAGTCAGTCAAATAACCATTGAAAAAGAAACACTGAAAAAATAATCCCGTTCTCCAAGTTTCTCTAAATTCCAACTCGTGTGTGTTACTACACAACTCTCGCTTCAGAATGTTTGCTGTGTTCTTGTTAGTAGAGCTTTTACTCGGATAAAACCGCCTGCAGAGGAGAGGCTTGGACGGGGTGACCTCTAAGCTCAGTGAGCCATTAAACAAGTGACATCCTGGTAGACTTGCAGAATAATTAAAATTTAAATGCAAAGGCATATTATCACCGCTGGATGTATGCAAATTGTTAACTGTTTATAAAATGCAGTAAAGAGCGTCACTGTCGGGTTTGGATTTAACATACACACAAGCTGAACGTTTGAATTCCCTATATTCAGCCAGTTACACATCTGAATGCTGTATGTGGTGTTAAAGCATTAAAGCTAAGGACAAAATTTGTCCTCAAAACATTAATTACACCAGGCAATCCTGTTAAATTCAATGAATTCAGCTGAATTTAATGAGGGTTCCTGGTGTAAATGAGGGCAGAGCTCAGTTCTGAAACACAGCATGCGTGTGTCATCTGGCTAAGTGAGAAAAGCTGCGGAAAGCATAGCCCGAACGAGCCGATTGTTGCATTCAAGCCTTAAAGCTTAATGTGCCTTAACAGAAGTTTTGCATTTAAATTTCCTCTTTTATTAAAAAGGGAGCAAAGAAGCTGTACTTCAGACATTCAGATAATTACATTATGCACAGAGACCCTGATCCTCCAAAGGACTGAAGCGTCTATCTGCCACTTCCAGTGCGGAACTGCAGCTCAGGTGATAATGGCATCCCCCCGCCAGCTGGTCATTTGCATTTTCCTGGTGCCTCAGTTTTGGACTGGTCCCACTACACGTTCCCCAGACAGGACGTGTGGGCATGCTCGGGACTCCTCAGTGGACTCCAGCCGGCGCAGCAGAAAGGACGATCGTTCCCCCTTCCTTGACGCGAGCACGCGCACAGCCCTGCACAAGCTGGATGAGCTCGCTGACCCGCTGGAAAAACTCACCAAGCCAGCTAACGCCCCCTTCAGATCCATCTTCATCCTGAGGCTTTCAACGCAGGGGTGTGCTGGGAATAACCACCCCGCCTGGGTAGGCTGCCAGGTTTTCCACACTACGGTGGTCTGAGAAGCGGCAGACAGACAACCCTTTTCCGAAGCCTTTGCTGCGGGCGTCGAGCTGCCTGCGCTGCCGCCGCCCAACAGGAGATCGCAAGGTGTGTGGTTCTCCCATCTCCAGGAGCGTTCAGCTGCAGTGGGAAGCGTACGTTCCCTCTCCGCTTCAAGCTGTGACCAAGAGGGGTGTGAAAACGGGACCGAAGCACCAAGTAGAGATTTACACCTATTCCAGGTAGGAGGAACTGCAGCAGCCAGAGACAACCTCTGCCTAAGCAACCCACACTGCTGCTGTCCGGAGCCAAGGCCGGGGAGACAAGGTGTTGGAGCAAGGCGGGGTTTATCCCTTTCATCCAGCTCATACCTATAACATGACCTCACAGGAAGATGCCATGCACCCCTTCCGCTCTGCTTTCTACCCACCTAATAAAACATCAGGGACGAAAATGTATTTCACCAAAGTGACGGGTTTAAATTGAAAGTGGGGAGGTTTAGATTAGATACCAGGAAGAAGTTCTTCACAGAGAGGGTGGTGAGGCACTGGAACAGGTTGCCCAGAGCAGCTGTGGATGCCCCATCCCTGGAAGTGTTCCAGGCCAGGCTGGATGAGGCTTTGAGCAACCTGGTCTAGTGGAAGGTGTCCCTGCCCATGGCAGGGTGGTTGGAACTAGATGATCTTTAAGGTTCCTTCCAACCCAAACCATTCTGTGGTTCTATGAAAGTGAGGTGCTTTACACTGTAGGAACTTGGACCATGCGTCTGGCGTAGGAACAGCAGCTCAGCAGCGCTGGATGCAAACAAGCGCCACCACTAACTTTCAGGCAGCAGTAGTGGAAAGATGCTTCCCTGCTTAGTTCTCCAAGTCCGCCTGGCAATTACCCGTTCAGGGATTCTCACCTTCAAGGGGATTGTGAGATGCCACAGCCCTGGTGTGGGGGAGGAACAGAAAGGCGCGGGTGGGGAGGAGGACCCAGGTGCTGCTTTACCTATGTTCTGGATCAACCCCTGATCCTGTCCTAGCTTTGGGCAGTTGTTTGCAGATGTTTATTGTGTATGAGTCATTAAAATGAATCCACCTGAAACCCGGCAACAAAGGCTTGTAATTCACCCACAAAGAGGGAAAAAACAGGATGTTACTTGCTTGAGGCAGGGAAGGGAGGGAGAACGTTCCTCTCTGGCTTTGAAAAATGGTCAAAACTGCAGTGCTAAACTGAAAATACCGAAGTCAAAAGCTGCAGAACAGAACTACTAGAGGACATAAAAAACCCCGCCAGTATTGGCAGCGCGGGGT